GATATAAGGAAGCCACAAAATTTCTATTTCCCCCTTAATATTCTGTTCCACTGATCTATGAACCATGATGGGAAGAGAAGAGTTTTCTCTCAACTCAAACCCATTTGCAGTAAGAACAATTGTGATTAAGTACACACACATGATGTGCAATATGAAAATATTTATTCTATTTTTACAAGAACACTCATGAATAAAATGGACACAGTAGAATACATAATATTGTATAGAATTTATGTTCATTGATTCACATACATGCAAAATCTGGGGTGGGGCACAGCTTAATTCATTTTGCAGATTTTAAAAACAATAAACTGAATAATATTGCCACCACTAACATTGATGATAAATACGATACCACACATGCAGGTACCTACAATAAACCACTTCATTTTGTGGTAATGAGATATACAAATGAATCGTTTATTATTTAGGGATGCATGTAATGTTTTATGAGGGTAATCCATGATATAAATACTGTAAAGGGGGTAATTATTCACTGGGTTTTAATTTAGCTTATTTCGCTGACTGGAAAATGCGCTAAATTAAAACCCAGTGAATATGTAAAATTTAGTATAGAACACATTATCTAAATGACGAAACAGTGAATTTAAAACCCACTGAATATGCCTGAAATGGTAAATCAGTGAAATTTAAACCCAGTGAAAAGTAGTCATTTTACAGTATCTCATAACTTATACATAAAGACCACTTACGATCTTGTATTAATAACACAATCTGAACAATTGATGGCGCCAGTACATCATATGTGTGGCACACCTTTTTCAAATGAAATTCGAATGTATCACATTGCACATTTTAATGATTTTTTTTTTCCCCGACAATTTCTTGTTTTACATTTGGGCCTAATGGACATTATTTCTAATTGGCTATAGGTGAAAGTGTACATCAGAATTTCTGCCACTTTGATTTGTCAATTGTGACAAAATTGACTGGCAATCAATGCGTTATTAAATATTCATAATTAAAATGCTATGAAATGCTGTTCATAATTTTTAAATTCAAATATTCAGACTTTATAAAACAATGACATCATTCCTTGCACTGCAGTAACCCTTCAGACCACAATGAGAGCAACATGTCCTTCCTCGGTTTGTCTTGAAGTTTGATCTGTTTTACTTTTATGTATTGATTGCCTGCAGTCTTCAACTGTTGCAAAGCCTCAATATGATCCATACTGAATTTTAAACCAGTTGGCTGCAAGAAAACATTTATAATACGTATACCAGAAGTAACAAAACATAATAAAAAACTGTTTACTATGTTTTACATCACATTGTGACTGAACATCAATACAGTATTTTTTCTATTAGTAATGTATCTGGCTTAGGTAAATTACAGGCGTTTCTATGGTTATAATAAATAATATTTTAATGATTCAGTTAACAACAAATGTGATTTATGGTTTGTATGCATTATGGAAGATGCACAATGATAGGAGATGGGATCATACAAAAAAAAAAATATACATGTACCGAGGTAAACTTTCAAATAGGTACAGTTACTTTACTACCAAATTAGAAATAACACGCCCAATCGAAAAGTCAATTAAGGTAGCAAGAAGGGTTTGATGACGTTTTTGAATAAAGTATTCTCTGTCTGTTGTTTCATTCAGAACCGTAATTTAGCGTATATGATCCAAAAGCCTAAGTATAGAGAGACAAGTTTGCACAAACTGGATAGTCATTGTTTACATAAGTACCATGTGACAACAAAAAATCGCGAACCTTGTAAAAATGACTAAACCTGTTATTGCGAGAACACACTGCAGAATTTCCAGATGAAATTTACGTCATGCATTGTCCGTAATCCATACTAAAATAAAATATTGTCAAATCAGTCAAAGATCTGTGATCATTTCAAACCTGCTGCATTATAATTACAACATTGTGAATTTTTATGATTATTTTACCTTTGTTTTTTCTGCTGACATCATATGACACCTTCTATTGTTTTGTAAAGAGTGATAAACATAAACGCATTCTTCATCTTCCCCATCATCCTCATCATCTTCCTCCTCGTCAGAATCATCTTCATCGTTTGGATTTCCATTAATAATCAGAGTATGGTCAGGAAATCTCAACCTCACCGATGATTTATTACTGGGCATTGGTGCTGATGAAAGTTATAGCAATGCTTTATTATTGGGTATTTTGAAAAAATCTTATATGAGTGTCGTAATCATATGTCCCAAGCTATTATATTACAATTCACACTCAAAAAATCTGAAGATTCAGAGTTTTGATTGGTCAAGGCATGTCAGATATATGGCTCTTGAACAGCATTTGGTAAAAAAAAAATAGCTGCCATTGGCCATTTTCAATCCGATCTAAAAAACAAAATGACTTGCATCAATGTATCATTATGTCCAAGATACATGTATGTACAAAATCCATCTGTACCCGACAGCTTGATTTAGAATTTTAGCATTTAAATGGCCGCTACTCGGCCAACTTGAAACAGACCGTCCGTGAAACAAAAGTGCATGCATGAAGTATGAATGTGATTGGGCCAGGCATGTCCAAGACAGAGGTGGGCACGAACAGACACAAAGAGTTAAATCTATATTAAATCCCTGTCTGAACTGAGACTAAAAACATGATAGAATAAAAAAATATCAAGCTGGAATCCTGATTTGTTTATCAGCCAATTCTACATCAATTTTAGAGCTTAAAAGGCAATAGTAACAAAATCAGAAAGAATTTAAAGAATCTTACGTTTTGGCGACTGTAATTCTTCTGTGTTATTATGATAGGGTGGCAGACGATTGCTAATAAAATCCAGTTTCATTTCATTGGCTGAAGAATCATCACATGACTCAATACTCTCAGCTAATTGGTGCAATAACATTTTGAGATGTTCACCATTTGGTTTTGATATTCCCTGTAACAAAATTTGTTGATATCATCATTTGTTCGAGGCAATTCAAAAGCATGCCTGATCAGAGGGTGGAGAAAGCATGTCAAGCTGATGAACAGCTGAACGTAGGTAGACAAATTTAAAATAGTTTTAAATTAGTTTTTTTTTTTAGTTTTGAAGATACACATATGAAAGTCAATCAGATTATATTTTATGAGACTTGTTAATTTCATTAGAAATAATTATAAAATTTGTTTCAATTTTACCACTGGAAGAAACAAACATTAATGACAGCATCATGTGTACGAGTTTGTTTGTTACATCAGAAACTTGACACTGATATGGATATGATGCAATCTACCTGTGTGATGAGAGTTCCAGGAATTCCTCGCCTAAATTCTTTATTTTTATCCATTTCCTTCTCCAGTAGATTTGGCATCATTACGGATAACAAGTCTCCCCAAGTACTGAAAAATAAATAACAGCCATTGGTGGCAGCATGCAGTGGGATTGATAACAAGTCCCCCCAAGTACTGAAAAATAAATAACAGCCATTGGTGGCAGCATTCAGTGGAATTGATTGATTGATTTTTTTACGAAAGGATTAAAATGTATTTCAAAGATTTCAGACAGCGAGAGTTGATAACTCTTGCTTTTCTGTTTTTGTGCATACTATAAGGTTATTACGAGGATACCAAAAAGTTTGCACTAAGACAGTACAACGGGAGTATCTACCGACACGCAATGGAGGTCAATGCGACAGTGTACTGTCTGAGTGCATACTTTGCTGAATCTTCGTAATAACCTTATTATTATACATCTTTTCCTCCCAAGGACACGTCATGGGAATGCTGAAACCCAAAAACTTCTTTGTGTGGAGTCCGGTCAAACTCTGGTGGCAGCCATGTTTGTTTTTATTATTAGAGGATGCTTACGCACATAATCATTCCATATTTGGAATTCGCATTTCTTAATATGGTAGAATGAATACTGTGGAATACTTTATTTTCGCTGGAATTTATTTTCACTGATTTTTGATGAGTTTAATGTGAAATATAGGAAAAAAAGTATATTCGCTGGATTTTATTTTCACGGAATCATCCCTTCAGCGAAAATAGTGAAAATAAATTCCAAGCGAAAATAAAGTATTCTACAGTATACCCAATGCAATATCGCAAAATTACGACACGCTGTAACTTATGGCGTTACAGTGACAGATATATAATAATTTGTAGTAACACAATCATTTTAATTACTTACTTGTGCTGGTAAGTACTCATAGTGATGTGGGTGGAATGAGTACTTGATGATAAAGTGTCTGCTTGATGTATCGTACCACGTGGGAAATACATCACGTCACCAGGCTTCAGAAATAAAATTGTACATTAATTAATTTCCAAAATAAAATAAGCGTTCCACCGCACCATTTGGATTATAATAAATTACTATACCCCCCCCCCCGAAGTCTTGTTTTATAGCTTTGTTTGAAATGTGTGATAAAACCTTTCCTAATAATTGATTTTCAATGCACTGAGAGATTTCATATAATGCATGAATAACCTGGTTTATAATGCTTTGATTTTGCACATGAATTTCTCTTTTTTATAGCTCGATGTCAAAATTCCTATTACAATATGGATTCAGGAGGAATATTGCATTGATATACAATCACTTGACCAACACCAACATCAAGTGGGTATAGCGTATTATTAAATAGAGTTTGGAAATACCCAAAAAATAGTTTCAGCGTTTGTCAAATCGCACACCATGTTTTGACGTCACTACAATGCTATGCTATAACTTTTGTTGGTCCTGTTTTTACATTTAATTTCATGCATACATGTAACACAGGATATTGCTGTACACGGGAAATTGTCTATTGGGAAAATTAAGTTATAACATGGGATGCTTTGAAAATAGGAACACAGATAATTGTACAGAAAATCCTCATGAATTTAAAAAAAAAGAAAACATTTCTTTTTTGCTGGCATTTTATCTCATGATTATTAAATAATACCAATTTATTATCACATTCATATTTTACAACATGATGTAAAATAAAACAGATCAGATTAATTGTATACACTAATAAAGGTACTTTTGAGTTTACGGTCCGATAGTTACAGACTGTGGTAAACCTGCTCCATGTTGACAAGCTCATGTCAGAATTTTAATCTCGTCGCTCAAAATAATCAATAACAAGCCATGCATGGCACAGTCCCCGTTAGTTATCAAATTTAAGATATATAGTTTTGTTTATAGTAATATATGTCAGGAATATGATTTTTTAACATTAAAATGATTGACATTTGTATCTGATCGTCAAACATGTACTTGTCCATATTGAGAGATATTGCTCTGGAACAGCATTCAAAATCAGCCATTTTAAATACATGTATATACAATGTATATAACATGACGTACAACGAATATATAAAATTTAAATATAATAAGTCAAAGCATTTAAGAGATATGGCTCTAGAAGCCCAATCATTAAAAGAAAATGGCTGCCAGTCAGCCATTTTGAATCCATCAGGAACCCGTAATGTCTATGTATGTACCAAGTTTGAACGAAATCCACCCATAAATGCTTGATATTTGATGATTTTTTAGCACAAAAATGACCACCATTCGGCCATTTTGAATAGGATAGTCAAACCAATATATCTGTTTATCTATGACATGATGTATAATGAATATTTAAAATTTGAAAATGTTATCAGTCAGAACAAGTCGGAGATATGGGTCTAGAAGCCAATTAATTAAAACAAAATGGCCGCCAGACAGCCATTTTTAATCCGATCTGAAAAATAAATGATGTGCATCAGAAACCTGCATTGTCTAATATATGTACCAAGTTTGAACGAAATCCATCTATAAATGCCAGAAATGCTTGATATTTGATGATTGTTAAGCACAAAAAAGGCCACCATTTGGCCATTTTGAATAGGACTGTCACACCAATATATCTGTCTATCTATGACATGATGTATAATGAATATTTAAAATCTGAACATAATCAGTGAAAGCAAGTCAGAGATATGGCACAAGAACCACATTCATTATAACAAAATGGCCGCTAGTCGCCCATTTTGAATCTTATCTGAAAAACAAAATTATTTGCATCAAGGTCCCATAATGTGTAATGTATATACCAAGTTTGAACAAAATCCATCTGTAAACAGCCGAGAAATGGTTGATTTTTTGGATTTTTTAGCTCAAAAATGGCCGCCATTCGGCCATCTTTAATCAGATCGTAAAACAAATGATGTGCATCAAGGTCCTAAAATGTCTAATGTATATACCAAGTTTGACAAATCCATCTGTAAACAGCCGAGAAATGCTTGATTTTGATGATTTTTAGCACAAAAATGGCCGCCATTCAGCCATCTTGAATCAGATCGTGAAACAAATTGACGTGCATATGTATAATATCATGTATGATGGATGTGTGAAGTTTGATTGTGATTGATCCAGGCATTTCTAAGATACAGGTTCGGACGCACGCACAGACGCACGCACGGACACACGGAGGTCAAAACATAAGTCCCCGTTTTCGGACTGCGTCCGAACGGGGACTAAAAATTCAAGGCATGCACAATGATGGATTTGGTTTAATTTCAGCAAAAGTTCCATTTTCAGGAGAAAAAAATGTTGGGATTATATCAGTTCATTGCAAAACCAGGTAATAATCACAGAATACCAGCCAAGAAAAGGTTTTTGAATGTTTTTGGTTGAGATCGAAACGTGTCTAAATTTATTTATTTTAAAGTAAAAGTACATCTCACACATTAGCAAAAAATTTGAACTTTTACCAGAACTCGCAAATATGAGGAAATCATGTTTTGTGTTGACAAGCAAAGCCATTTTGACATTTAATGACAGCTGTGGTTCTCACAATGATAATCATATGCCCAAAATCATAGTGAATGATCTTGTATTATCAAATCGTGAAAAATCACTAGTGATGAAAATAAAATGGTTTACAGTACATGTAATTTAAATTCTTGTAATAACCTGAGCACGGTTACTAAAAAAGACGGTTAGGAAATGCTATTGTTAATTGTGAATCTGCCTAATCCCTCAAGGATGCGTGTTGCTGTGTATGCCCTCTATCACTTGAGATTTCAAGACCCACCATTTTGTTTCTTTCTTGCGTCGATCACTTGATTCCCACGAATTTGAAATTTTTAGCTTGTTTTCGATAGAACATTCACGTTTAATGCACAAGCTCTACGAAGATCTATATGCACATTTCGGATGAGTACTCTTTGTGACTGTGATAACATTCAGAATCGAGAATCATCATTTATCGTTTCCACTGTTGTCATGAAAGTAAGCTTGGGTCCCAGAAGAAAAAGTGACGAAAATTCTAACCCCAAAGTCATTATTTTAAAATACATTATATTATAAAAAATACTACCAAATATATTTTTAGTATACTACTGTGCGTACTTATGACAGTTGTCTGTGATTCGGGGGATTATTGAAGTAAATTCTGTTGTACTTTCGTGTCACTGTATCAGCCATTTTATTTAAGTCTATTAAAATTTTCCGTCAGCTTCATAAAACGCCTGTTTAATTGCTCTTGTCTGTCCTTGTTTCAGTTTTTTGGCAAATTTTTATGTTGCAATAAATACGTGCCGTTAAATACGGTTTTTGACAATGCTACAATAAATTCTTGGTACAACTTTCTAGCAGTCTCTTCGGCAAATCAATTTTTCAAACCCTTTTTAACCATTCTTAATTTTATTGGAACTGCCTGTTGTTGCATATTTTGTGTGCTTACATGCATTTTGTAGACCATGGATGGGTTGTTTCAGTTATCATATCACATATTTTGTTTATTTCAAACAAAATGTATGTGGTTTCATGGCTCCTCATTAAAACTTTTGCATGGCTGAAATATAAACATTTGTATGGTTTCTTTGACGACTTTCTTTCTGATCATGTGTTGTTGGTTGATTTATTTCAGTTTTCTGCTGATCTTGTTTTTTAGAAACAAAAATGCCATACAAGACAGGCAAATTTGTATTGAGTTTAAACTGAGCGAGAGGTTTTGTCAGGATTCACCGGAACAACTTGCACTTTAGTAACTTAAAGCATCGACATAG